TTAGTATTTGTTTTGGACTTTTTTCAATTAATTTCTTATTATTTTTATAATATTTGCCACAAAAATATAACAATCCGTCAGATGTCAGAAAATATGTGCCAAAACCGCTACAACTGATCGCTTTTACTTCAATTATGTTTTCAATTAATCGGGGTTTAAATACTTGGGTATCCACTATATTGTGGCCCAATCTCTGGCCTCTATTGTCGCCCCAACTGAACACTTGTCCATCGGTTGTGATGGCAAACGACGAGTTGTGATAACAGTAAATGTAATTTATTTTACAATTAAGATTAAATTCAACCATGGTGCAAACATATTCACTGCCATCACCGCAACCAATTTGGCCCCAATTATTCCAACCCCAGGCATACACCCGGCCATCACCGGTAAGCGCCAGTGTATGTCTTGAACCGCATTTTATCTGACTAATATTTCTATAGTTTAAATACAATATTAATTCCGGTTCTATAAATTCAACATTTTGGTCAAACATGGTTAGTATATCAGTTTTGTGCACCATGCTCAATTGGCCCCAACTATTATCGCCAAATCCATAAATACTGTTTATGTCATTCACTGCTAATACAAAATCCAATCCATTGACAAAGTATTGTATGTTTTGATGACATAATTGTGGTATCAGTTCTGGTGATGATATAGGACTGTTGTGTCCAAAACCCAGACATCCCTTACTATTATTGCCAAAACCATAGACCAGATCATCGGATGTGACAAATAAAACATTTATTTTATTGTTTTTATTGTAGAAAACGTGTAGTTTTGCGATATTTTCTTTTAAATTTAACGGTATTTTATCACTAATTTGTAATTTATTTAATAAATCACACATTTTGAAATAATTATTAAAATATTAATATTTAAAACAAATATTATAATATTTATTTGTAATACACTTTTAGTGACAATTATAATAAACAATGAAAACTATTATCATTATATAATTGTCAAAGAATTTCATGTAAAAATATGATAATAACTATAGCTGTAAATAAATGTGTATTTTCCTGATAACAAACTATAAATAATTCTTACCATAGTTTACAATCATTATTTAAGTAATGCAAATATAATATATTTTCAACACATTATGTTGGGAAATAAACGTTATTGCTAAAATTTTGTTACACACTGCAATATTATTAATATAAATTGAATATAGTATAAAGTAAGTGGATTTAAATTATCATACCCCCTGTATTAATAATATTAACAATTAATTTCCGGAACTAAGATATATAATAAATAAATAAATATTAATTTCCGTAGCTATTATAATAAAATATAATATTTTAATCTATGACAATTATTATATGTGGAATGGATTAATAAATATGACTATTTTTATATAATGATAATAATTAAATAGTCTTAATTATATTTGTGTTTATCTAAAAGTTATAATTTTTCATTAAATCAAATATTTAAATTTAACATAAAATTTTGATCTAGTATTAATAAAAATTAATTTAATAATCCAATATATAATCCGATACGCTAAAACTAAATAAATATACTGTATTTGATTAATAATATAAAATTAATTTAAAATAGTTGTTATTTTAACACATATTTAAAACACATGTTATGACAGTAAATCTAAACTACAAATGTTTTACAAATATAATCGTAAACATTATAAACATGAATAGTTATAAATATTTTAAATAGTTTTACATTTAACTATTAAGTTATTATTAACATCTAGATTAATGGGCACCGATATACTACCGACATGAAGATACAACGTTTACCAACATTAATATTTGTGTGTATAAGTGGTGTATTTGTATTCATAGGCAGTATTATCATAAACATTATACAATTAATCATATATTTCACAATACGTTATCTAAATATACATTTATATCGTTTAATTAATTCACACCTTGAATACTATGTTATATCACGTAAGTATTAAATAACATTTGAGAATTATCACCACCATCCATCACTAAACAATTACCATCATAATTTTATTTAAACTATAATTTAAACTATTAATTTAAAAAATCATGCTTACGATAGTGTGACCAAACTGTCATGTTATTAGTTAAGCTAAAATTAAAAGTTTATTAAAAATAGACTTTATTTTACACTATCATTATTTAAAATTTTGACTGTGTATAAAAAAATTTTGCAAACCAAATTAAAACTACCATAATCCAGCTCTACCCCACAGAACTCTTAGCGGTTATTGAATGGTGGTCCCGGAGCACAATCACTGTATATTTCCCGGACGATCAGAGTAGGCACGGGTGGGGCCGGGAGTCAGCCATATTGGTATCCAATCATCGGTACGAAATCGACTCGTTAGCCCTACTACAGGCCGCTTACGCCATAGAGTGCCCACATGTCAAGTACTTTATCAAACGCGAGTTCCGATTCGTGCCAGTGATAGGGTGGACACTTGCGTTCGGAGAATCCATATTCCTGGACCGGGACTGGCGGCGGGATTCGCGTACCATTGGGCCCGCGTTGGGCCAACTCTGGCAACACAAGCGCCCAGTGATGGTGGCGTTAACAGCTGAAGGCACACGATATACACCCGACAAGTTCAAGGCTAGTCAGAGATGGGCACAGGAAAAAGACCTCCCGGTGCGCTATAAGCATCACTTGATTCCCCGGGTAAAGGGCTTCGCGCTTGTGGTCAGGTATTTGAAAGTTAACTGTAAGTATAAGGTGTAAGTTTGAGGGGAGATAATGAGGTTATTATAATGAGATTGTTACATAAATAACGTGTTATGTTATAAATAATGTTTTAGGTCCGAACGCAGCCCTGTATAACATCGAGTTCGCATTTGATGAGACTAAAGTGACGCCTAGTTTGTTAAACTATATACAGGGTGTTTCCCAACACTGTTCGCTGTACGTTAAGCGAATACCAATCGAGTCCATACCCACCGATAATGATCAACAAGTCGAACAGTTTATGTACGGACTTTTCACCGTAAAGGTTATGTATTGTATTTATTTAGATACACCTTGTATATAGTTTTATTATTTTATTTTGTACAACTTTTTAAATAACAGGACAAATTAATGGATCACTATATCCGACATAAAACATTCCCGGGCACACCTGTACACTATCAGCCCTGTCATACGGCCCTATTGTTATTTATAATAAATTTTTTGTGTGTTGGCACACCTATACTATATATGACTTACCGCGTGCTAACAACTGGTAGTTATGCCCTCATTCTATGTATTATAATAATAATAATTTTGGGTAATTTTTAATCTGACTTGTGAGCTTAATTATATACACTGTGTATACGATAGTTTGCCCTATTTTATGGCATTTACATTATACATAATTTTGCCATATTGTTAAGGATTTTGTCTACCAATAACTATTATAATTTAAAGGCAAATAATACACGTTTAATTTGGTATGCATTAAATAATAATGGATAAACCTTAAGTTTACCAGGAACAATTTTATTGTTAAAATATAATATTCCCAAATATTATTGATTTTGTGACCTAGTTTAATTCTGGATATAGTAGTTGTAGATGGTTAATATTAATTTGCTAGAATAATCATTAAGTGCAATTTGTTAATTTAACATAATATTTGATTTATCGTGAGTATAATTTCCTTGGTGATTTTATCAAGTAATTAGTCTTTTCCATAGGATTTCATTGAATAATTCACAAAAATGTAAATATTTTGAAAGAATTTAAATATAGCCCTTGATATTTTAGTGATTTTAGGAACATTAATTATTGAGTATCAGAATTTGAAGTGTAGTTTTTACTTATTTGAAAACATCCAAGTTTATTAAAATCGATCTACAGATGCCTGATCTACACCTGATTACGATATTGTAATCATATAATGGTTTTCTATGGAAAAACACAGTAGGGCAAACTATCGTATACACAGTGTATATTGAACGCACAAACCTATATAAATTATATTTCGATAAATCATACTTTTCCACTATTTAAAGAATATATTTGAAAGATTTATGTTATATAAATGATTATTAATGTATATACAATACTGTATAAAATGTTACTTTTCTTATGCATAAAGTTTTCATTAAAAATATCGACAAAATAATTGTTATACTCTTTCTTGTAGTAAAAGAATGAGTAAATTTAGTACAATTATATCTAGTGTTATGCTTACTGTACAAGCTTACTGTACTGCTTACTGCTGCTTACTGTGCTTACTGTATATTGAACGCACAAACCTATATAAATTATATTTCGATAAATCATACTTTTCCACTATTTAAAGAATATATTTGAAAGATTTATGTTATATAAATGATTATTAATGTATATACAATACTGTATACACTATAATATATGATAGAATATATAAATATAGATAAGATTGTTGACATACCAGCACCAGGTTTTGATTTGAGTTGTTTGGTCCTCGTCTTTGAAAGTGTCCACATAAGAGAAGTATCGATCGGAACACATCCGGTATTGATGTTGATATTTATGGAAACATTTGGCGTGTTTTAGATATTCTGTAAATCAAATCAACTGTTGGATCAAAACATGGAAATTGCGGTAATTATGAGATTTCCAAACCTTGTCTGAAAGGCGATCCTTTAGTGCAAAGATCTTTAATTAATGTTTGGGTTCCGTTAGTCATCGCCTCGTATTGAATCTTGGAGTGAGTGTCCAAACATTTTCGCGTGAATTTATTCACACAATCCACCGCTTCTTTCAGTTTTCTGTGTCAACCATACAAACCATATAAACATTTCAAACAAATCATTCATTTATTACTCAATACTACAATCAATTTAACATTATTAACAAGGGTAATCACTCGATTCGTATACTATTCATTTTTATTTCTGGTCACTCATAATTTATTTCAATTTTTTAATTTAATCTTACATGCAATTTAAAATACATATTCCATAAAATAATTTGAATGCAAAAATGAATGATTTTCTTCATAAATAGATATTGAATTTCCACAAAATTAATATTGATTTATTAATTCATTAGTTTTATAACAACTTTTTCTTTTAAAAGTTAAGAACTGCATTGTATCTGTTCAAATAGAATTTATAGACCCATCATATTTATGTTACCATAAATTACAAATTAGTTATAAATATTGTAATTTTTATAAATATTATATATTTTGTTTGATAAATTATATATCATATAATATTTTATGATTTGAGTAGGTTTTTTTAGAAAACGTATTTTAAAAATTTTATTATATACAGCACAATATATTAAAATGAATATTTAATACTAATATCTAAACTAAAATTCTATATTTTAGTTAATTTTATTTTAATGTGGTTTTTAAAACAATACAATTATGATAATTATTTAACGAGTGACTTACAAGTATATAATGTAAATTTTACAAACTGATTTATTAATCAATGTATAATCAAATTAGGAATTACAAACTGAATGGTAAATTTTTGCCATAAATTGAATTAACGTAATTACAGGTCTGTTTTATGAATGGGTGGTTACATAGCTTTAGAACAACTATTAATTCAAATTTATTATAATGTGAGAGAAATTTTATAGCAAATCAATAAACGCCTGTTTCAACACGAATGTGATCTGTTGGACAAAAGTAAGTCAACCGTATATTTAGTCTGTTTTCACCTTAAAAGTCGAGTTAACCTCCATTTCAATCAATACTTTTGTGCGTTTATTATTTGAGTGCTTAACAAATACTAACATTTTTCTATCTGTTCGCAAAGTAATTGAAGTCGATTTCTATTGAGTTTCTTTGCTTTTGCTTAAAGAGCTTTTAAATCCAATCATTTTTGTTACTCTAAACTAAGTCTTATTATAACGATAGCTGTCTTCGATCGTTAACATGTTCTTAAAGGCCAGATATCGCACTCATATAACAACTTAAATATATAATATATTTGCAAACATCCATTAATATCATAATAAACCAATCAATTAAGACTTACCCACAAAGTTCTTCTAAGTGTTCCTCTTTATGAGCAAATGCCATGTTTTCTTCATTTGTTAGAATTTTAAGTTTGTTTATACATTGACTTAAATCATAACAATTGTTTTCATTTTGACCACAAGTCAAGATAAAAAGATCTGAAATAATACAATACAATATAAATTATAGTGAATTCAATTAATTCAATAAAAGTAAACATTTTAAGTAAAAAATAATTTATTAAAACATCAAATTTCAGCAAATAAATGGTAATGATTTAATTTAAAAAAATAAAGGTTCATATAGCATTTAAAAATTAAAATTTATTAAACTACTGTTTATTACTTATCACTGTAAGTTTAATTTAACTAACAAATTTAAATTGAATTTATTAATATAAATACTAACATTGCATTCTTGTGTTTTGTGTTAGAATAGCAATTTAACAATTATCTAACATTTCAATGCATAATTCAAGACTATTGAATCAATAGTACACTAGTATAGAATCTATAGAATAAAGTTTATACTATATTTTATAGTCTATAGTCTACTGTATAGACGTTGAAATTATTTTGAAAGAGATCTAATAAGTCCACAAAACTAATATAATTTTAATTTATTGTAAATCATTAATATATAAAGAAAAGCAAAGTATCCAACAATTTAATGCCATTTCATTTTTTCGAAATATCCTTTAAAATATTCCATCATTTTTGCTCTCATTTTGAATTTACTATAAAACTGAAAATAAAGCTGCTCGAATAATTATCCCTATGTTTTTCAATGAATGTCTTTTATTTAGTATATACTGTATTCGGTTGTCAATTGTGAATAGTGTTGACGCAAATTTGATTTTATTATTATTTTTGGGATTTTGTGTTTTATTTAGTTTTATTAATTATAAGACAAATTTTGTGTTATTTGTTGGTTTATCAACAATTTCTTAAAAATTTAGTTAAATTTTTTGTTGTGAGCCAAATTTTTATTATAATTGGACTTAATATTATAGATGAGACTTATCATGGAGAAAGCAGAATCGCTGAAAATGATCAAAATGGTTTTGTGTATTTTATTTATTGAAATAATATATAAAAATTATGCACTGAATGTGCACTGAATATCGTTGGCCAGTTGACGACAGTTAAACAGTTTTAGACTAATCAATGAATAGATTATTATCAGCATATTAATAGTCACTGACATATATATTAAGAAGATTAGTAGAAACATATATAAGACTTAATGTAATATTTCTATTTTTTGTAAATGTAAAATATAAGAGTATAACGAGTTGTGAATTAGAAACAGAATTGTATAGTTAGCTGAGGTCTACGGCCCTCAGCCTTAATAAAGTATTGTTTGTAAAGTTAAATATGTTTCCAGTGTTGAGTAGTCTCTGAATATATAAGTAAAATCTACCTAAACGAGGGTCAGTGCTATACACGTACCCACTCAACCACTCTCTGGCCACCCGTTCACTCCAAATGAATAAAACAATTTTACAACTTCACAAAAACAAGTGATATTTGGTCACATTTTACACCTTAATAACGACCAAAAATGTGTTTTATTAATAACAATATATTTCTAATGAGAATCTAGTTTTGGTCAAAATTGATCTGGCAACCCTAGTAACAAATAACTTAAACATATCTATCTGAGTTTATTAAACATTATTTGAATACTAAAGATAATAGTAACCAATTCTATACTTTAATATTTCAATATTTGGTGTAACTTACATAAAAAATTAATGTTACTATTGTATTATTGTACTGTATTATTGTATGAGCTCAATTTTAAGTTTTGTTGTGCTTCACTATACAAATTGTATTTATACAAATTGAAAAAATTCAATTTAAAAATAGCTTGTTTATATTATAATTTATAATCAAAACACCATTTTTAATTATGTTGTCGTAAATAATAAAATTTCAATCGAAACTGAAAATAATGGGCAAAATTAGACAATTTACAAATATAATGAGATATTTCTAATTATCTCATTATAGAAATATTAAAAATTCTATAATCGAATTTCTCAACAAAATTCTTACCCTAAAATTGTATAACCAAAAGACGGAATTCTCATATAACCCATGGCTTTACTTTATATATTCACAACAATTCTAATTAATATTACAATATCAATATTACAATAATTCGTGTTCTCTCTCTCTCTCTCTCTCTCTAACAAAACAACTTTTAAATAGCTATAGTATTGATGCGCATTCATAACTCATCTGATATTTCTATAAAACATATTGAAAATAATTCACAATTTATAGCGTATATCACAAACAAATTTATAGTTCTGTGATTTATTGCAAACTTAGATTTAAAATATGGTAAGAATAAAATGATATTCATATGATTAGAGTACATATGTAGTTGTGTGGAAGTGCTAAACACCAACTTTATTGCTACTAAAGAATTTGACTTTGAGTTTACAGTAAAAAGTGGCCTTGCTCCTTTGAGACCCTCCACTACACCACTCTATTATCTGATTACTTCACCAAATTGTTCGCTCCCTTACAGTAAATAACATGAAAATAATAGGAAATAATTTATTAGATTTTATAGGAAACAAAGTTTTCCTTTTTTGTAACATTGTTTTTGTTACACAAATTATCCATCAATTACTTAATTAACAAAACCATTGAAGAATTGCATTCAAATAATTAAATGACGAATGAAAGCAAATTTGAGTTTTGTAACAGCTTTCCTATTAAATGATGTTTTTAGCACTTAATAGTCGTTAATGCACTGCAATTCACTTATTATAACAAATCAGTCATTAATATAAGAGTGAATGCATTTTATTTTAATATAAAGTATTTGTTGACAAATTTCTAATTGTATTCATTGCTACGATACCCGCTTTACACTACATTTAAATGTCACATCAAATTTAATGTTTTCAATACATTTATTGCTACTTATGGTACATATACTGTATACATAATACAGAATAACTCTATCAAATAATTTATGCAATGCCTCCGAATACAAGTGCTCTACAATGCAAATATATTAATACAGTATATTATACATGTATTACTTATACCATCCAATTGTGTCATACAGTAATATACTTTACATATACAAATATAAATTCATGACAAAGCATATCTTGGTTTCTAATTTAAGATGAGTGTAACGTTAATCTAATATTGTTTTAATATTAATTCTTGTACTGTAGTCTCATATTCTATTAATTGGGAGATATTTTAATCAACAAAAGCATATAAAGTGACTGTAATTACATGTCTTTTAGTTCAATTATTTGAAAGTTGTTGTAAATATTGGAAATTAAGTTTTAAAATGTTTGATATGGTTTAAATTTAATTGCATAACAAAATAGATATCCTTTAGAAGAGATTTTGTTTAAGCCGTCTTTTCGAGCATAGGTTAGCAACATTGTAATTACTAATTGTTATAAGTTATAATTTATAGCCCTTATTGGGTTCCAGTAGTGTTTGCCACACAATTCATATTTTACTTACGAGTTAAATAAATATTTTTAAAGTTAAATTTTTAACAACTGTTAAGACATTTAATTAATAATCTCAACTAATATTTGTTATTTTTGACACATTTCCCGATTTTCAATGGATAAAACTTATACAACTTTTACAAATAATATTTGTTCATTTTTTATATAAAACATTTTTGAAATTTCGAAATTTTGTAACAAATGTTACGATAAAATCATATTTCAATTTCATTCAAACTTTTATTGAACTTTTTATTTGAAAAGAAGTGAAGAAATGAAATTTAAGATAAAATACGTTATTTAATAAGAATTTTCAATATTTGTTGGTTTTAGTACTTTTTTAACTCACAGAATGTTTTCTTTTATATTGTCTGTGATTTTAGACCAAATATAAAATACTGCGATTTGAACATAACTTTATAATAGCGATTAGAATTTTAATATATTATTAAATATTAGTAATAACTTTTGTACGTCTTATATAAAGTATCCACCATATATCTACATTTAGTCCTCTATTAAAATACATTAATACTGTTTTTATCATTATTTTGAAACAAAACATGATGGTACATAAGCATTACATTTGATCACACATTTTGAAGAGAAAGAAAGAAAGAAAGAGAGAGAGATCTAATAAGTCCACAAAACTAATATAATTTTAATTTATTGTAAATCATTAATATATAAAGA